AAGAAACCAAAAAAAAAAAAAAAAAAAAAAAAAAAAAAAAAAAAAAAAAAAAAATTAATTAAAAGAAATGGAATTCTTCCATTTAAGGCATGAAGTTTCTTTCTAAGTAAAAGGAAATAAATCAAGTTTCAACAAAACCTATTAACAGGCCCAGTATGGTGGCACCCAGCACTGGGGTGGGTCAGGCAAGACTGCCCCAAGTTTGAGGCCAGCCTGGGCTACACAGTGAGTTCAAAGCCAGCCTGAATTTGTTACAGAAAGAAAACTTGTTACAGAAGAATCTAATCAAACAACAAGGAACACTGAATCCATAGAAGAGATGATGGGAAAGGAAATAAGACTGGAATCTTTCACTACTGAAGGATGTATAAGGAAGACAATTTCATTTATACTAGGTAGCCCTAAAAGTGGAATCTAAGACTGGGAGGGAAAGTTTGGCTCAAGATGAAGAACTTCGCCAATACTTCAGTTGTCTGATGATGACCGAACCTCTGTGTGGGATATAGTAGGTCACTAGGAATATTTCCACTTAACCTGGCAGGAGTGTATAGAGAGGATTGCAGTACAAAGCCAGGCAACAGCTGGCCCATGTTAACTGAGGTTCTTAAGAGACTACAATTCAGCTGGTGGCAGAGCTAAGAAAAGCTTTCTAACTAATTGCTTTTCTGGTACCGGGGATTGAACTTGGAACCTTGCACTTGCAAGGCAGGCACTGGAAACCACTGAGCTAAATCACGGGCCCTTCATTGTGCTCTTTCTACAGCTGGAGCCTAAGTGCCTGGAAGATGAGCAACACACTGACCAATTTCTCCCAAGCTTCTCATCTCCCATGCTACCATTCCCGTCAACTTTCAATCCAGAGAAGCAGCAGAGAATCTTGGTTCAAGAAATAATTCCAGCGACTGGGGATTTAGCTCAGTGGTGCCACTGCCTGCCTCGCAAGTGTAAGGTCCCAAGTTCGATCCCTGGTACCAAAAAATAAAAGAAAGCATTCCAGGCTACTCAGAAAGAATTCTGGGAATGAGGAGCATATGGGTCCAGTGTCTTACCTCAACTGGTTTCCTTCGAAGGATAAAGAAGTTCTCTGCTCGCATCATCATAAAGCGCATAAACTTGTGGCATAGTATCTTCTCTATCTCATCAGCCTGGTAGGAGCAGAGGAGAAAGACGATTCTCTAGAGTTGACTTTCTAGGCCAGTGGTGGCGAACCTCTGGCATGTGTGCCACAGCCTGTCAGCACACAAGCCAAGTCACCCCACAGCCAAGGGTTGGGCAACAGCACACTTAGAAATAGTACTGGCACTTTTCGATAAGTAAGTGGCTCTTGGGTTGCTGTTTAGGCAGTTGGTCTCTAAAAGGTTCACTGTCACAGTCCCAGGCCCAAATCCCCGTAACCTGGGTACCCAGTTTTCTGCAGGATTGGTGAAGATAGTGGTTGGTAATAGGAACAATCACTGCCTGAACTCTTGAGTTGTGGAGATTTGGCTGCCAAATGAAGGGAGGATCTACCTTAGGGCCCCCTTTAACTCAGGCCTCATTATAATCTCTTCCTCACCCATTCCAGAGAGCCAAATCTGGCAAACCGGAGGCATTTATTAGCTCTTTCAGAGTCCATACTTCTCTTCAGAGCTGTCTTTCCCTTTCTCATTTCACTACCACTACACTTTCCAAAGTCTGTGTGACACACACCTCCTGAGGGGTACAACTGCATACCGAACAATCCCCCAAAGGTTCTCTTTTTCCACTCTCCCAGCATTTCTAGGCAGAGCTCTGCAGCCAAGAACTAGATCAAGCAGAACACCTCAGCCATTACTTCAAATCCACTTCAGGATGACAGCAACTTTCTAAAGGCAACAGTGTCTAATAAGAATTTAGTAACATTGTTTGTGGTTATTATTTTTAGTTACCCTCTGTAGTGCCAATTGATACTATTCTTCCATTTACGGCATGAAGTTTCTTTCTAATTTAAGTAAAAGGAAGTAAGGCAAGTTTCAAAAACAAACAAACAAAAACACCTTTAACAGGCCCAGTGTGGTGGCATCCAGCACTGGGATGGCTGAGGCAAGATTGCCCCAAGTTCGAGGCCAGCCTGGGCTACATAGCAAGATTCTGTCTCAAAAAACAAAACAAAACAAAACACCCAAAAAATAACCCTATTTAACCCTTTTACAGTTTACTCCAGTGGTGTCATCTCCACAGGTGTCATTTCAGTTCTTGTCTGCACAAGATACGCTCATATGTATGTTTTACACTGATTATTTTTTGCATACTTTTAAAATTTAGAATGCTGTATTCACTTCTGATGTTTGTTTCTAGTGAGATCTAATTACTGGTTATTTTCTTTTACTAATTGGTTTGTTTTTTGTTTTTTGTTTTTTTTCTTTTTGATTTTTTGAGACAGGGTCTCACTATGTAGTTGAGACTGACCTGGAACTCACTATGTAGCCCAGGCTGGTCTCGAACTCACAGCGACCCTCCTGCCTCAGCCTCCCGAGTGCTGGGATTACAGGCGTGTGCCACCACGCCCGGCTGTATTTATTTTATTTGTGAGATATAACCTATAATTTTGTGTTATCATCTATAAAAACTTATTATAAGTACATTAGATATAATTTTTATACTTCTCCAGAACTCGGTGATACTCTTCTATCATATAGAATGGATATGTTTGGGACTCTGAGACTGAATAGTAAGGAAGTGCCAAAAGTCTGCAAAAGAAAAAAACAAAAAGGGAACAGTAGCATAGCAGACAGGAAAAGTCTGTGTTATAAAATGGACAGATAAAGGGCCGGGGATTTAGCTCAGTGGTTCCACCACTTGCCTCACAAGTGCTAAAAAATGACTCCATTATGAAATGGACTGATAAAAAAGATGTCTCCTTCAAGGGCCCAAGTTCAATCCCCAGTACACCCTCACCAAAAAAAAAGGCATCTCCTTATTTTCAACTATTCATATACAGGAATGACAGAATTGGGGGGAGGTACCAGGGATCAAACTCAGGACCTTGCACTTGGAAGCAGGCACCGGAAACACTGAGCTAAATCCCCAGCCTTTTTTTTTTCTTTGATACAGCCTTACTATGTAGTTCAGGCTGGCCTCAAATGTGTGGTTATTCTCCTGCCTCAGCCTCCTGAGTGCTGGGATTACAGGTGTGTGCCACCATTTCTGGCCATCCTGTATTTAAATAATTAGACTGGTAACTGCTTAAGTAAATAACCATTCAGGTGGTACAGAAATGTGGGAAGAATTATGAATTATGGAGGGGGTGAGAATAACAGACATCATGAGCTAAGGAAATGTACAAGAAGTGGCAATGTCTCTTAAAATAAGTGGCAGTTTCAGAAACTATCGATATCAAACTGGTATGGGTCTTGCTCATTTTTCTGAAGTGGACAAGTTCTCCATCTCTTGTTATGCTTTGAATTTGAAGTATCTACCCCATCTGGAAAGCAAATGGATCACGGGGGCACCACACTCATCCTCCAATGGGCTTGCAGTGCCACGCTGTTTGGAGGCGGCAGGTCACAGAGGGATGATCTGAAAGGGTGTGTGTCCCCCAGCTCCTCCCCTTTCGCCCTGCTTCCTGACTGCAATGGCTGGAACAGCTCTGCTCAGCTGTGACCTTCCCACCAGTTGGCTTCTGCCTCACAGCAGCCAACCATGGAATTGAGCTCAAAACCACGAGTCCAAATACACTCCTACTAAGTTGTTGGGAATGTATCCTAGTGATAAGAAACAGACTGACATCTGGAAATGGTTCTGTGATCTGACACTAAGCTGGTTCTGTGGCACTGAAAGTTACGTTTCCTGCATTCTAATCCAAAGCAAGGCCTAAAGCACGGAATTGCTGTCTCTTTTTATTGTACTGACCCACACTGGCAAATCATCTCCTGAATACGTTCAAGAAAGCAGACCCTAGGTTTTCTGGACCTTGAGTCTGTCACTCATCTAGATGGAGACCGCAGCTTGGAAGAGAGCACCTACCTAATGCTGGACCTCCTCTCTGGCAACTCACCTGCTTCACAGCAATGCTGACCCGGACAGAATTGATGGAGCCCTCAATCAGTACCTTTTCCTTCTCATTCCTGCTGATGGTGACGGGTTGTAATAGGAGCTCTTTGCTACTCCTGAGAGAGAACACAAAGTCACAGAGGCTTCTGTATTATAGAGAGGCAGAACAGCCAGGGAAGTGCCAAATCACTATCCAAGACAGGAGGAATCCAAGGAACGAAGATTCGAGCAAAGATGGCCCAAGATGAAGGCCAGGTTGGATGTGCTCCAGCAAACGAACACAGGCTCTGGAGTGAGGGCAAAAAGGTTTGGAAATTCAGCCTCCTGTTACCTTCCTCGGGCAAAGGACCCTATTAGATCTCAATTACCTCATCTGTAAAGTGACCCTGATTCCTATTTCACAGGCAAGAACTTGGAGAGATCAAAAAGGGTCAAGTGTCTGCTAGTGTGCCTAGCACACAGCATGAGCTTTACAAAGACAGCTGACTTTGAAAACCACAGACAAACCAATATACCTCTGCCTTAGCAATGAGGCTAAATCAATTTGGTGTACTTTTTTTTATTTTTAAAGGCTCCTGGGGGTCAAACCCAGGGCCTAATGCATGCCAGGCAAGTGAACCACCACTCAGCTATACTCCCAGCCCTGAATTGCTTTAATTATCAATCCAAAATTCCTCACTCATATACCACTGAGACCCTTATCAGCTCAGATCCCAAGCTGATGCCACTGAGTATGTAAGATATCTGTAAACGAAGTTAACTGTGGTTGACTATAAGTTGTGACCAGTTTAAAATGCTAGTGGAGCCAGGCATGGTGGCGCTTGCCTGTAATCCCAGCACTCGGATCACTGTGAGTTCAAGACCAGCCTCAGCTACACAGTGAGTTCCACAGCGGTCTGAACTACATAGTGAGAACTCAAAAAACAAAACAAAAAATAAAATAAATAAAAAGTAAATAATATAAAATGCTAGTGGAAATCATAATTTTAACAACACAGCACATTCTAATATTAGTTTAAAACTTCAAATCAACTCACCATTAATGTAACATAGATGATTTCAGTTACATATGTCCCAGGTTACATTTCAAAGGGGTGGGCTAGGAATGTAGCTTAGTGGTACACTGCTTGCCTAGCATGTCCAAGAACCTGGGATCGAATATTTTTTAAAATCAAAAGAATTTACGAAATGAAATGAAAACTAGGTAAGAAGAAAGCCATTCAAAATATGAGATATTGGGATTGCCTTGCTGGTTTGCTACTTTGCTCGCTTTTGCTGTCTTCTGCCTGCCAGGAACTGTTTCTCCTCTGCAGCAACCCCCCTGCCTTGAAACCAGTCAACTCTGAACTGAAATAGCTACAAATTATAAGCTCCTTTAAGGGAAAAAAAAAGGGATTATTTGAGGTAGGTGAGAGGATGGGGGGATCCTTGATCCATCAATTAGAAAACTATATAGAGATGGAAGCTCGGACTTTTGAAACTTGTAACGGGCTCACTACTACCACAGGAGATACTTCATCAACAGCCCTCCTCCGGGAGTCAGTCACACTTACGTCAAGCAATCTTGGCACAAGAGGAGCTTTTCCCCAGGATTTTGCCCCGCCAACCACTGACCCTATTTTCTTACTCCAAATCAGGAACCACTGTTCATCTGGCAGCAAGACAAAATACCAACCAAAGTTGACCTGACAATCACAGGATGCAGTTTCCTGGCAGCCCCTCGGCAGCACCTTACCTATATGCTACACCCTCGGTTCCCACCCTGATCCTTCCCTTCCTTACCTGACTTCCACCTCTGGCTTGTTGTGTCGTTCCACGACCTGGGAGGAGAAGTTCTCCAGGCAGAGGGCAGCCTGCAGCGTGGCCCGAACGGCACTCAGGTAGGGGCGGAGAGTGGCAGTCTGTAGGAAAAATACCAAGGGTTGGGAAGAATCAGTCTGCCTTGCCAAAATGACCAGCCCTGAACTCTAGCTCCCATGGAGCTAGCAGTAAGGGAGGCACCAGGCCTCAGATACCAGTGCAGGACACACTAGCCTCTGAAATGCCTTTTGTCTAGGTTCAGAGCAGTGGTTCTCAACAAGGAGTGACTGTGCCTACCTATGAATGTGTGGCAATGTCAGGGTCTTTCTGATTGTCCTGACTTGTGAGGGCTGCTGTTGGCATCAAATTGAGAGGAGGCCAGGCATGCTACGAAGGTCCCTAAAATGCATAGCCCTAAGTATCAACAGTGCTGAGGCTGAGGAACTCTGGTCCAGAGACAGGCAGCGATGTCCTTTACCTGCCTATTATGCCAACATATGCACAGGTCTACTATTAACCAGGATGGGAAGTCAAAGATGAATAAGATCATTTGTACCTTCAAACAGCTCAACCAGATAGGGAATATACAATATAAAGGAGGATAAAATGTGACGTAGTATTGCAAGTAATCGTTCTGCGAGAAAAAACTGGTTCTGACTGGAAATAGGATCAAGAGAATTTTACAATGAGAAAAAGTAAAGCTATTTTCTTAGAGAAAAATATAAAGCTTACATTCTCAGTAAAGGCATCAGTTTGAAGTTACACCAGTCAGTTTTATTACACTTTTACATTAATCAAGTTCTTTCTCATTCCAGGGCTTCACACATGCTCTCTCTGTGCCTGAGTCAATCATTCAGTGCTCAGCTTATCAGGAAAGCGCCCTCCTTCCTCAGAGTTGTTTCCTGACCTCTCATAATGCATTTATTATTGTTTATAATGACGCATACTTCACATCTTTTGTACCGTGATTTCCTCCCCCCAGACTATAAACCCTGTCTACACAGACGTCTACCTGATTAAATTGTACAGCTTGCACCTAACATATAGTGTCTTAACATTTTTCTGTAGAATGAAAAAATGTAATTACTAAAGCTAAGCCCCAAGCCGGTGTTGCACATACCTATAACCCTAGCACTTGGGAGGCTGAGGCAGAAGGATTGAGATCAGCCTGAACTACATAGTGAGATCCTATCTCAAAAAGAAAAGGGAGGGGCTGGAATTTAGCTCAGTGGTGCCTTGCCTGCCATCACAGCACAAGGTCCTGAGTTCAATCCCCAGTACCAAAAGGAAGAAGAAAGAGAAAAAAGGAAAGAAAGAAAATGTATAATTTTTTAAAAAAGAGAAAAGGGAAAAGAGGGGGGAAAAAAAAAGCCAGGTGCAGTACAATGGTGCACACCTGTAATTCCAGTACTTGAGAGGCTGAGGCAGGAGGATCACCTCAAATTCGAGACCAGTCTGGGCTGCATAGTGAGTTTAAGGCCAGCCTGAACTTAATGGCAAGATCTTGTCTCAAAAAACAAAGCAAGGCTACAACATAAAAGACAGAAGTTCCAGGAGTAGTCACTAGTAGAGTGTCTATACACGAGAAGCACTTTAGGGTGTACAAACCAGACTGCAGAGGTGGGCTGGGACAAGATCATAGGCAATCTTGGACACAGGCTACTGAGTTAGCTCTTCTTTTAATGTAGCAAGAACTACTGGGGCTTTCTGGGGAGGAAGTTACATGACTGCAGCTGCACAGTGGCTCCTCGGAGATCAGACTGGAGAGGGAAGTGAGACACACCAAGAAGTGGTTCTTACAGTCTATACTGGGTCAGTGGAGCAGACAAGCAGAAAGTATCACAGGGGTTGGAGTGACATCAGATACAGAACATTACAGAATAAAAAACTACTCCTGGGCCGGGGATTTTTAGATCAGTGGCACAGTGCAAGGTCCTGAGTTCAATCCCTAGCATCAAAATGAAACAAAACGCCCCCCTCAAACTACTCCCAACAGTCTGTGGCCCATTCATACAATAAAATACTATTTAGCAATAAACAGGAACAACGAATGACACAACATGAACGGATCTCAAATTTAAAAGCCTACGTCGTAGTGGTTAAGGATAACCTGGTGGTAGAATTCTCACCCAGCACGTGCAAGGTCCTAAGTTCAATCTCCTTCATACTGAAAAATTCGATATATATGGGAATCTGGGAAAGGGGAAATGATAAGGGAAAGACATCATTGGTTGTAAGAGAAGAGGTCAGAGGTGACTAAAAAGGGACAAGAGAAAACTTCAGGGGGAGATGAAAATTCTGGATCTTGATTATCACTGGTTGCACAACTATTTTTTTCAACATTCACAGACTTTCACAAATGAAACACAGTTTCATGAAATATCTCAATAAACCTGGATTGCTGGGTGAGGTGTAGTGTATTTGTACACCTAGCACTCAGGAGGCTGAGGCAGGTGGAACGGATACATAGCAATACCTTGTCTCAAAAAACAAAAAAACAAAAACAACAAAAAAGGGCTGGAGATTTCACTCAGTGGTGCCCAAGCCTGCCTCACAAGCACAAAGCCCTGACTTTGATTGCCAGTACCAAAAACAAAAACAAACTAAAAAAAAGACTTGGATTGCAACTTCAAGTCCCACCTGAGCAACTTAGCTTTATCTGAAAAGAAAAAAGGGGCTTGGGATGTAGCTCAGTAAACGAAGGCCCACAATTCAATCACCAGTACTGGCGGGGGGCACAGAACAGCGATTGAGCTCAGTGGTGCCTTGTCTGCCTGGTAACCACAAGGTCGGAGTTAGATCCCCGATAACAAAAAAAAAAAAAAAAAAAAAAAAAAAAAGTCGTGTCTTCAATGAGATGAAAGGCCCAGTTTTCAGATGAGGTATAAAAACATAAAGTTAGGCAAGATACGCAACAAAGAATGAAGAGCAAGTTTAGAAAAGGGGAGTTTACAACTACAGATCTAATTTCAAGATGTCTTCAAAACAGCCAGGTGAACCTTGAAAGAGAACTAGGAAAGCAGAGGACGGAGTTACCATAAAAGGTCATCTAAACCTGGAAGTTAGATAAGTATCACCAGAAAAAACGCTAAGAGGGGAGGGCGGGGGGCCAAGTTACAACTCCCAGGAATGCCCAAATAATTCGAACTGGAGGACTCCCAGGAAGAGAGGGATCAGTAGCAGCAGTTTCTACACATAGTGAGTGTAACAGGATCTGGCTCTGACCAGGAGGGAACCTGAATGGAGACAGGAAAAGATTCTTCACTTGGGCAGAGGCAAGCTGGGGATAGGACAAGAGGCTATGGAAAAGAGAATACTTGTATCTGGAAAACTGGGGTCCAGAAGGCAGGAGAGGACGTGGGGGTGTGGTCAGCGGAGCCCTACCCTGGACAAGGAAATACTACACACCTCTGCGGCCCTACGAGGCCCATTACGTGCCTCCGACACGCTGCCGCAAGCCTGAGCGGCCGGCTCCCGCGCGCCTCAATTAACTTTCCATACCTGTCCTGGACCCGCGACTGGGAGCCCCCAAGCCTGCCCCTGGCCAGGAGTCCCCCCAATCCGCCCCTTCCTCTTTGGTCTTCTCTGCCCCACCCTTTCTCCCACCCTCATCGTGCTTGCACACTCTCTGGCATCCCTCGGCCCCCGGCCTCACAGGCAAGGCCGCATCTGCCCCAGACCCACAGCCCTGAGATAGAACAGACAGGGTCCCTGGCCGGAGCCGGCTCTCACCATCGCGGGCGCTGGCTGGGCAGGAAAGCGGAAGTGCGGAAGTGGCCGGCGCGCGACGCCTGCCCGTTTGGGCCACGCAGCCGCAGTCTCCGCCCGGGCTTCCGGGCCGTACCATCTGTGTTCCAAGAGGGGACGTTAGAGTTTAACAACAGTGGGATCGTCAGTAAATGCTCACACTAGGACTAGCTTGGTATTCTAAAAATCATAATGTGATAGACTACTACTCAAACTCCTCCGATATTCATGCACCTTTCGCTTTGGTCTCCTGCTTTTTGTCGTCGTTAACCCAGGCTCCCCCCAGCCACGCAATAGTGT